GTAAAGCTCAGGATGTTGCTTCAGAGGGTGCAAAACCCCAGCCTTGGCAGCTTCCATGTAGTGTTGGTCCTATGGGTACACAGAGGACAAGAATTGAGCTTTGGGAACTTCTGCCTAGATTTCAGAGAATGTATGGAAACACCTATACATCCAGGTAGAAGTCTGCTACAGAGGCAGAGCCCTCATAGAGAACCTTTGCTGGAGCAATGTGGAAGGGAAACATGGGATAAAAGTCCCCACACAGAGTCTTCACTGGGGCACTGCCTAGTGGAGCTACGAGAAAAGGGCTGCTTTCCTTCAGACCCCAGAATGATAAATTCATTGACAGCTTGCACTGTGTGTTCAGAAAAGCCACACTCAATGCCAGCTGTGAAAGCAGCTCCGGTGGGGGTGCTTTACCCTGCAAAGTCACAGGGACAGAGCTTCTCAAGGTCTTGGGAGCCCACTTCTTGCATCAGCAGGATATGGAAGTAATAAATGGATTCAAAGGTGATCATTGAAGAGCTTTAAGCTTTGACTGTCCCACTGGATTTCAGACTTGCATGGGGCCTGTAACCCCTTCATTTTGGCCAATTTCTCCTATTGAGAATAGGTGTATCTCCAAGTTGGGAAGTAACTAACTTGCTCATAGGCAGAAGGGAATTGCCTTGTCTCAGATGAAATCTTGGACTATAGACTTTTAAGTTAATGGGGGGACTGTTGGGAAGGCATAATTATGTTTTGAAATGTGAGGACATGAGATCTGGGAAAGGATCAGTGGTGGAATGATATGGTTTGGCTGTGTCCCCACTCAAATCTCTTCTTGAATTTTGGTTCCCATAATCTCCATTTGTTGTAGGAGGGACCAGGTGAAAATAATTGAATCATGTGGGCAGTTTCCCCCATCCTGTTCTCATCATAGTGAGTTAATTCTCATGAGATCTGAGAATTAGGCACAATTTTTCTTTGCCAGGCACTCATTTTTCTATCCTGCCACCATGTGGAGAAGGACATATTTGCTTCCCTTTACACCATGATTGTGAGCTTCCTGAGGGCTCCCAGTCCTGTAGAACTGAGTCAAATTAAAAATATTTCCTTTATAAATTACCCAGTTTTGGGCAGTTCTTTATAGCAACATGAAAACACACTAATACAGTGTCCATCTGAAATGTCTAAAGTCCTATCATACAAATGAATCGCATTTTTTTTCTCTCTCTCTGACCTTCAAAATCTGACACTTATCATCTATCTTGTAGAATAAGGTCTCATACACTCAAAACACCATAAATGAATTTATCTTGGTATGCTTATTTAAATTGTAGGAGTCTGTTCACATGTTAATTCCTTCTCTATCATTTTATCAAAACAGAAGACAAATGAGCTCAGAGGCTTAGACATATGTGTTTTGTTTTGTTTTGTTTTGTTTTGTTTTGCATTTATTAAAAAAATCTGGCAGATACTGTCATGGAATATGCAAAAGAATCAATTGTTTAAAAATGAAAAAAATTACACATAATTGTTTAGCACACCTTGTTACTCAACCTCCCCACCTCCACCCATGTACTCTCAATTTTGGCAATTTTGCTTACATTGCCCTTCCTGTTCTAGAGGCTGAAACAGTTTGAGTCTATTCATTTGAATTATGTTGAGGAAAAAAGTGGGATAGGGGAGGGTGCAGTTTAATATTGACTACACTTCAATATCTATGTTCTTACTGGCTCAAGTGACCTGCATTTTCTCCAATATCAGAGAAAGATTTTGCAAGGATTTACAACTGGTATTCTTACCTTGATGGCAAAAATCAGATCTATTTAATCTACTGTCATCCACAAATTGGTCCATAGCTTCATCAGATTAGGGATGGGAACTGAGGGTTCAACCAAATTCCCATGGCTTTTGGTTGCCGGACCCCATGAAGACTTTTATCAGTCTTGCCATCTTGTGGGTACCTGGGCATTAGATTGAGTTATATTGCTAAAAGATAATTATGTATTTGCTGATCATTAAGCATATGGTGCCTACTTGGCTCCCCTATCAATTTGTGTCAAAATAAATTAATTGTGGACCTGTTTTGTTTTATAAAAAAGCAATGTGATAATCTTTAAATTTATCGTTCTAAACAAGACACAAGGTTACACTTTACCCAGCACAGTAACTCCTCTTGGTATTCTTGACCTAAAAGGAAAAAGTGCAGGAAAAACAATGTAAGTGGAGAGTTTATTTGGGCCAAGAATGAGTTGCAACCCAACAGCATAGATTCCAGTTGCCCTAAACAATATGCAGTCTTATTGGCAACAGTTACAAGTATGTTTTCAAAGAAAAAGAAGAGGCAGTTCCTAAGTTATTTACCAGGAATTTACAGTAAAATAACATAAGCTATTGATTGGCTGTAAATTGTTCTTTCTATCAAATTCCAGGAACATGAAGATAATGGGCAAGGTGCTAATTGGGAACAAAATGACTTTAAACAATTGTCCCCAGGTATGTGTGTGAAGGGCAGTGTGGCACCCAGGAGGCAAGACTAAAGGCCCATACTTATGCCTCTCTGGGCCAGTGTACCTTGCAGAACTCAAACTGTTCTATTTCTCTTTTCTCATTATTTTATTGAGGTCAGTGGTGGGTGAGTTTGCACAAAGCTACACATTTTTATCAGAAACAGTCACTTTCTAATGCAACAACCTAACCCACTCATTCATACCACAAAGGCTCTAGCACTGACATTTCAACTGTCTTCACAACATCACTCTCACTTTAGGATGATAGTCTATCTTCCACCACACTTAATGGTTCATCTGCTATACTCCTTAGCACTATTATTCTAAGAAGGATTTAGTGTCTTTGACTGAGCTGTACATCTTGCTTCACTGCAAATTATGTAAAGTTTCAAAAATCCTGGATGACCTCTAAAATGTAGCAAAATGATAATTCCCACTACCCCTCAGGGTGGTAGAGAAAGATCAGGGAAATCCACAAAATCAAAGATATTTCCCACTTTTTGAGGCCTCCTCACAAATATTTCCTAACCTAAATTTCAAATATATATTTAACTCCATTTGATGTTTAAGTGTTTCCAGAGCCAGAGGATAAGAGGTTGTGATACCATTTTGATAATACTGTCCATTTCAGCACAACAAGGACAACTTAGAGTCAACATTTAAGCTCCTAAGAGATGTTGGGTCAAATGAAATGTTCCTCATTGTTTCTTGATCTCTCTTTTACTCCTCTTCCTGGCAGGGTCTCCATTTCCTTCATACGGGCACTCTTTGTTATCCCTTTAAACAAATAAAGAAGTTTTACATTTTACCCAGATTTTTTTTCTGGCTCCACAAAAGGGATGAGTGAATTATGGCCCTAAAGTTGGTGAGAATGATGGTAAGCCTTCAATCACCTTCAGTCTCCCAACTGACAATGGTCATGACTTGTTTTTCCCTAGATTACATGGAGAAAATCATGCCCTACTTTTTGGACCTGTTGCTTCCACATCTGCATGGTATCTATGAAACCATCCTAATGAACAGCACATACTAACCACTAAATAAAATGTAGACTTTGAATAAAAACACAGTTAAGTATTAACCAGCTTGCCCTTACACCAATTCCTTATAGCTACTTACAGCTTGACTTTTAGCTCCTTTCCTTATAATTTCTTATAAAAGTCACATAGACATTGTCACAAGCACTAATTTCCCTTAGTTGTTTCTATAAGATAATATATTTAACATTAAGAAACTTCAAGTTTCTATCTAAAATGTTTTCCATAACCTGGAATCCCATGGATCTGCTGACACCAGTCAGTCTGAAGACCCCCTCCAAGGAACTGACTCAGAAAAAAAAATGCAGTTTTTATCTCTGTATGTTTCATTTCATGTCCTACACCCCAACCAATCATCAACTCCAGACCTTCAATCTCTTACCTGCCTTTCTCTCAAAAACCCCAGTCCTAGACCCAGCAGAAAGGTGGATCTGAGGTTCCCTCAGTCTTCCTCATTTTGCTGCCATCCAATTATTAAACTCTTTCTCTATTTCAACACCTGCTGTTTTGATGTATTGGTATGTTACTGTGCAACAGGCACACAACCCTGGTGAGCCTATAATAACTTTTTAGAGTTGCCTCTCTAATTTTGTTCCCAACATCTACTTCTAAGTCTACTCAATTTCTATGGTTCTTCTATTCCTAGGTCTTTTTTAAAGACTCAATTTCTTCCACTGAGTCATGTCTCCTGAACATTCACTTAAGCACAACTTCACTTGCAGCTTTGCTTCAGGAAATATTCCATAAATGGACCTAAGAAACTCTCGCTCTTTTAATACCCATGACTACACAAAATACAAGGATAATTCTGATTAAAACTAAATTAGACTGTCAGAATGTTGATAACTGTTGAATCAAAGAATATTATTTTGAAAAAGACTGAGACATTTGGAGAAGAGAATTATTAAGAAGTCTATGGAAAAAAGAAACCCTGACAACTATCTTTTGGGAATTTTGTTTTTCTTTCTTGATAGTCCTAGCTTTCGCAGCTACTGAGAGGACTTCAGAATTATTTGGAGCATGAGTATAAGAACGCTCTTATTGATTTGCACTAGTAATCTAATTTGATAGACACATGTCTAGTGTGGTTTGAAATTCAATTAATGAAAATCAAGCCTGGGGTTTTTAGAAGAGGAACATTTTTTTCATAGAAATAAAATGTAAATTGTTTTAAAATGTTGTTTTATTTTAATTAATTCAATTACTTAAGAGTCATTCATATTTTCATTCAGATATATGTGAAACACTTCATTATGTATATTTCCTCTCCCCAGCTTTTCATTCTCTTTTTGTCTTCCTTTCTGTTTTGTTGCTGTTATTTGTTGTTTTATTTTGTTTTTGAGTTAGGATTTCACTCTTTCTCCCAGGCTAGAGTGCAGTGGCACAGTCTCAGATCACTGTAGCCTCCACCTTCCAGGCTCAGTCAATTCTCCCACCTCAGCTTCTTGAGTAACCCAACATTAACTGGGTATGGTGGCACACTACAGGCATGTGGAGAAAAATCTAAAGTGAATGTGATGTCAGTGAGGGTGGTGGGGGCAGTAATGGCAAGTATGCTTGCTCATTACCAGGCACTGTGATCAGTTCTGTAAATACATAGATAAGTAAAATCCATGCTGTTTCTCACAGAACTCACAATCTATTTAAGAAAGCAGATGTCTATGCAAAAATTTTATAACTATTATTCAATGTGATTAGTACTCACATAGAGCTATATAGAGTGTTATAGAAGAATACATAAGAGAATATCTCATTTTTCCTGGAATGGTTTAAAAATATATCACAGAAACTGAATTGTAAATAGTGCAGAAATATGGAAGAGTGGTTTGTGGTAGGGCCTATCTTAGCCCACTGCTTCTCAGGTTTGGCCTTTGAACTTCAGATATGACTGTTCCAAGAACAGAAGGCAAAATGAACAGAATCAAAATCTGAAGGCAGCTGTCAATAGAGATTGACTCTCATTGAGGCATGCCAATACAGGTTGGCCCAAATGTCAGAGTCAAGGCAACTGATATCAAATGCGGGGCTGTAACACTCTCACAATTGTATCTGAAAGTGAAACAAGCAAGAGTGGAAATGAAGCACATATCTTAATGTGATTTTCAGGACTAGGGCAGGGAGATGGGCCTCAGCCATCTAATAACTGATGTATACCTTAGGATTTTTTAAAAATAACCAGTGATTTATGAGAGAGGGAGAAAAGGAACAGACTACCAGTTTCCTCAAGAGGCAAATCTTCTAAGAAGGCATCTGCAGCCTGAAGCAACTGCCTTTGTGCAGAGAGGATCAGAATATTATTCATAGGGTTCAGTTCCAAATCTGAAGCATAATTTCCAACCATCAAAATATTGGAAATAGGAATGCCTAGCATTTTATTGACATTTGCGACCTGTGGAAAGTATATTTAAGAAGCGTAAGTCTTGTATTTAATATTTAAAATTTGATCAATTTTAAATATAATTTAAGAAAGAAACCAAAGAAGCTAAGACTTAATAAGTTATCTTCAGATCATTGCAGTTTTAAAGTGTGATATAGATTTGAATTACTCAAGCAATTGATCCCATTCTTCATTTCCCTGCAAATACGTTGTGTGAGCACACATATACACACAGACACACACACAAGTATGATTGTGATACTATTACAGTATCTGATGATTAGCATTCTTTACCTGGCTTTGAGAAGTCATAGATCTACTCATATTTAAAAAGTTGTCTTGAAGAACCTCACTGCAATCACTCACGTTAGTAAGCAAGGCTGCATGTGCTATACCTATATCAAATAGAAAAATCAGTTCTTTTATATCATCAATATCAATGTGTCAACAAGTTGTTAAATATGTGTGAAAGCAACTCTAAAGGGTGATTTTGAGATTTGAAGAATAAAATATCCCCAATAATTCTCAATATGGAGCCTGAAGCTTTTCTAGTGGAGAAACAATCTTTAATTTTTTTCTTCCAACATGAGAGATCATTTTTCAATACAATTAAATTCATGCTAAACTGCAATTATCTACGATTCCATTCAAATAGTGTGTTTTAAATCAGTCAAGGGGGAAAAAAAGTGGTTGCTGGACATTGGGGACTAAAAAGAACCAAAAGAAAGAGAGGAAGTGAGGAGGGTTGTGCATGAGCATTTATGAGAGCAAACTCTATGATGACACAGTTCTACTAAGGACCTACTGCTTTCTCCCTCAAACCATGGGAACTGGATTAATAAATCACACTTGACTTATAAGCAAATCCAAATTCTGCTATGCTAACAACTACTTCTGAGGAAAATACAAGACTAATTTCAAATGCCAGTCAAGGAAGCCCCCGAGACTCCTTCACCAGAGCTTTCAGTACCTTTGTCCTACCAAAATCTTGTGTTTCTTTCTTCTATTACTAAATTATTACTTTTACTACTGTCTCTTCATTCATGTTTCAAAGGAATAACTCACAAAGTTGGCCAATAAACACTTAGTTCTGGTACAGAGAAGTTCTCAGTTGACATCTACCATTTTTTTCAACCTCTGTAACAGTGAAATTCTTCTCTTTCAAAATTAATGCAATGTCCTTTTAGAGGTTCTAAATCAACACAGATAGTTGCATTAAACACTGCCATCCAGCATGCCAAGCACAATGTATTGCCAAACATCCTTGCAAACTCATTTTGCAGCTTAGCACTTCTCTCTTACCTCAAGCCTTCCATAATTTTAGAACTGTTAAGTACTTATATATGCTAATATATTTACATTGTGTAATCTAATGTTCACTACTCAGGTGTTTGTTAGACAGTTTATTAAGTTCAGATGCAAAACTTACTATCGCCATTTGATAAGAACAGGAGACTAAAGTTAGTGACATTAAGTTACCTTTCTCAAGGTCAAAGTTTACTACTACTTAAAAACTAGACTCACTTAACTGAGACAATGCTCTATACATTAAACTGCATAGCACTTTTTGAAACCTAAATATGTGACCTTTCTATTAATATACTAAGCAGTGAGACTTTGGAATATAAATACCGAAACAATTCTTTATATTAAAATCTTTTGGAAGTTTGGTGAGAGTACTTCCAGTTGTGGATCAAATGGTGTATACTTTTCCCCTCTTCTTTACACTAAATATGGCTAAAATCTCTGGACATTATACATAAATCAAACACAAAGATTGGAAAGTGCAGAGAATGCAATTTGACTAGAGACCTTGACACCCAAGAAACAAAAAAGAGATCAGTTCTCTAGGTTTTCTTTTTATTTCATATGTCCCAGATTGGCTTTTAGAGACACTCACAACTGGAAAATGCCAATTAGAGCCAGCAAAAAGAAAACAAAAGTAAAGTAAAACCTGTTTCATCCAGTCAAAGCATGAGAAAAAGGGCTGTGTAGCAAGACAGAAAATTTTCAGGAAATAGCCACACTATCCCAGCCAAACACCACGGAATTCAGCTTAGCCCTATCCATGGATATGTCCTTACCTTTCCCAACCTTTACCCTTAGCCAAGGTAGTATCAGAGAAGAAAATAATGTAGGGAGCCAGGACATTTATACCTGCACTATACTAAGAAGGTCCCTCCCGATGGTGTCAATGGAGGCTACTTGGGGATTCTAGACTTCAATCCAACAGCAGCAAAGAGGGAGGGACAGAGAACCCCTCTGGGAGGGAGTGTCAGAGGAGAACAAGTGAGAAGCTGGAACTTTAGCCTTCATTATCCTTAGATGCAAGGAGGCTTCTAGCCCCTGTGATGTCAGGGGATCCTATATGGGGCACCCTTTCTCTAAGGGTGTCAAATAAGGCCATGGTAAACCTGTACTTTTCATCCCACCAGTACCAGAATATGTCTACTAAAACACATGGTGTAAGATCCAGAGTCACAGAATAAAATACCAAAAATATCAGAAACAGAATTAAAAATCATTTGTCACATCAAACCCAGGAAATGTTCAACTTAAATGTTAAAGCTAATCAGAAGATTCTGACCCTAATTAGATGACAAAGATGTTAGAATTATTTGGCAAGTATTCTAAAGCAACCATCATGAAAATGCATAATAACCAAGTAGGAACATGCTTGAAACAAATGAAGGAAGTGGAATGTCTCAGCACAGAAATAGAAGATATGCAAAAGAATCAAACTGAAATTTTAGAACCAAAAAGTATAATAACCAAGATAGGAAAAATAATAGATATGCTCAAAAGCAGAATGGAAAGGACAAAGTAATGGGCAAGTGAATTTAAAGATATAACAATAGAAATTACCCACTCTGAAAAATAAAGAGCAAATAGAGACAAAAAATAAATAAATTGTGAGACTATAAAAAAAATCTAGAATTCATGTCGCAGAGTTCCAAAAGGAGAGATGAGAGATGGCAGGGCTGAAAATCATCATAATAATAAGACAGCTACAGACTGAAAGAAACTATTTGCAAACCATGTGTCTGGCAATTAACTTACATTTAGGATTTACAGATCTTTTAAAATTCAACTTCTAAAAAACACAAATAATCCAATCAGAAAATAGTCAAAAGACATGAAGAGACATTTCACTGAACAAGCTATATGGAAGGCAAATAAGCACATGAGAAGATGTTCAATGTCATTAGTCATTAACCAATGCAAGTGAAGACTCTAATGAAATATCAGTATACATCTATTAGAAGAGTTAAAAAATTTTTAACAGCAACAATACCAGATACTAGCAAGAATGCAGAAAAATTAGATATCTCATGTATTGTTGATGGGATTGTAAAATGGTACAGTCCCTCTGGAGTGGTGATCTCTTTCAAAGCTAAATATACAATTACTATATGACCCAGCATTACACTTCTGGAGACTTATCCCAGAGGAATAAAAACTTATACCCACACAAAACCTCAACACTAATATTTACAGGAATTTTATTTGCAGTAGCTAAAAACTGGAATTTTTTTGGTGTAGCATGGTTAAACTGTGGTATATCTATACCATGGAATACTATACAATTTTTTAAATGAACAATAAATACATACAAAATCTTGGATGGATGTCTAAGGATATTAGGTTGAGTCAAAAAAGCCAGTCTCAAAAGGTGACATACTGTGTGATTCCATTTGTATAATATTCACAAAATGGCAAAATTATGGAAATAAAGAAAATATTAGTAGTTGCCAAGAGTTAAGGAGGGTGGGGGAATAGTGGGCGCCATGAGGGAAATCTACAAAGTGATGTAATAATTTGTCGTAGCGATGGGTACCTAAATTTACACATGTGATAAAATGACACAGATCTATAAAGATACATGGTTAACAATAATCATTTTCCTTGATTCGATTTTCCTGGTCTAGCCACATAGTGTGAAGATGTCATTTCCCTATTTAAAGACTCAGGAAAATCATACGTGACCAAAAAAAAAATATGGCTAGTCTATTCTTTAAAGACTGAAAATTAGGATTTGGTGTCTTTCTTTAGTCATGCTTGTGAATAATCTCTACCCGCAACAGCCACCACTCTAGAGAAATCAGATGAAAGGTACATGGGAAATCTCTGTACTCTCTTTGCAACTTCTTGCAAATCTATAATTATTTCAGAATAAAATTTGTTTGATAAGTACAATGAGATTCACCACAGCTTAATATTTCTTTGCGAACTTTCTTGAATTTTGCCAGCATTTCAGAGGAGAGATTATCAATAGAATTGATGTCTAAGACATAAGCCACACAGTGAATCCTGTCCTTCAGTGATGAAGACGTGATAAAAGTAGAATGCTCAGGTGTAATTGGTTTATGGGGATTCAACTGTTATAAAAACGTAAAGTAACATTCACAATTCAGAGAGCCTATGTTTAATCTTTAAAGACACAGTTAATGCTTCAAATACTGTCACCACTTACCTCCCTCCTGCCCCTCAGCTACTCTTTCCCCAAATTTGTAGCACCCCCTCTGTACTTCCTTTCCACTGTGAGCATAACACCATTATATCTCTCTTGAAAAAAAAAAAAAACGATAACACTTCATTGCTTTGGTAAAAATGATAATTATCCATTGTAAGTATTGCAGGAAAGTATAAAGACTATCTTTTAAAAGCTGACTTCACAAGAGTGAAACTCCATCTCATAAATAAATAAATAAATAAAAGCTGACTTCAAATATTTGCATGCAGAAATAAACAGCATTAACATTTGTTAAATACAATTGAAGACTTCTCCTAAGCATTTTGCATGTTTAAGTGAACTAATAGATAGAAAAAATAAAAGAAAGAAAAAAATATTGAAACTTCTATTTAAACTAAAAGACTGTAATTTATTTTGATTTTACAGAAGAAAAACAAACTAAAGTCAAATAAAAGAAATACCAACTTTGAAGTTAATGTCTTTTTACCACAACACAGTAATCTTTCTAAGATTAAGGAAGTAGATTATGAAACAATAGTTTGGAAATGTGTAGTTATTAAACTATATATTTCAATGTTGGACTGAACTGACTGACTCTCCGCTATGAAAAATTAGGGTGTTAGTATGCTTCTGATTTCTCCAATGTCTTCTCTCTATCCTCCTCTCTTTATCTTTATGTCTCCTTTTCCCTGACTGGATTATGAACTCCTAGAGGATAAGGCTTGTGTTATTGAACTATGTGTTTTCAGTAACTGGCTTTGAGTTTGGCACAAATATGGTTTATAATAAATGGTTTCTGAATAAAGAAATGAATACATAGGTAAGGTTTCCAACTCAGCACAATTGGGAAGCAAAAGAGATTATTCTTTAGAAATTGAGTCTGATACCCAACACCTAAAGAAAGGTAATGATCATTATTAGCTTTTTTGACAACTTAGACTGCAATATCTCATTTAACCTTCTTAGCCACCCTATGAGATAGACACTATTAATACCAACATTTCACACCTAAAAAGAGACTAAGAGAGAAAAGTGTGTATCTTACATATAGGTACACATGTATTAGTATGGACTCATCAAGAGAGCCTTCACTAGATGCTGGCCCCTTGATTTTGGACTTTCCAGCATACAGACCAGTAAGCTAATAAATTTCTGTTCATTATCGATTGCCCAGTCTGTGATATTCTATTATAGCAACACAAAACTAAGACACTTACCTTGTACTTGCTGTAAATCTCACTAAATTTCTACACATTATGGGTTCACTAGAACTTTGTGATTGTGGGTTGTTATGAACACTAAGTGCAACCATACACTGTAAATTTATATGAAGTTTTTGGAAAGCAAGATGTCAATACTATAAAAAGACATGTAAGAATCTTATCTTTTTTTTTTTTTTTTTTTTTTAGACGGAGTTTCGCTCTTGTTACCCAGGCTGGAGTGCAATGGCACAATCTCGGCTCACCGCAACCTCCGCCTCCTGGGTTCAGGCAATTCTCCCGCCTCAGCCTCCTGAGTAGCTGGGATTACAGGCACGCGCCACCATGCCCAGCAAAGTTTTTGTATTTTTAGTAGAGACGGGGTTTCACCATGTTGACCAGGATGGTCTCGATCTCTTGACCTCGTGATCCACCCGCCTCGGCCTCCCAAAGTGCTGGGATTACAGGCTTGAGCCACTGCGCCCGGCCAAGAATCTTATCTTAATTCAGGAGTCTAATTCGTGGAAATGTAGCATAAGGAAGTGTTGAAATAAAAGTAAAAAGCTATACATACAAAATTATTTTTTATTGTATTAATTATTCCATATTGTTGGAAACTAGAATGAATCATTGTCCAATGAGGTGATTAAATATAATGCACTCATTAAAATAGCAAAAAAGCATATGTAAAATCATGGTAGCATGTTCAGTAAGTCAAAATAAAAATTAGCACACACTGGGATTAGAGCTGGATAAAATTATTAATGCTTTTGGATAAATATCATTGAGGAGCACATGAAAAATAGAAAAGTTATGCAAGGTAACTTCTCTATTTTTCTACCAGAAAAGGTAATAGGATTATATTTAATTTGCTTCCATTTTGCTGAACATTCTTTAATATTGCCTTTTCGTGGTAAAACAAACACATAAACCAAAACTTTAAGAGGTTTTCTGAAATAATTACAGTGTAATGCATGGCATTTCGAATTGAGAGTCAGGCTGGAGACCTGGCTCTCTCATTTAAATATGTGTGATTGTAGATTAGTAACTTAATTTTGTAAACCTTAATTTCATCATCATTTAAATAAAGATTTCCACTAGCTTTTTAGAGCCATGAGATTAATTAAGATGATGTATGTGAAAATACTTCTTTTTTTTTTAGCTTTTAAATTAGGGGACATGTGTGGGTTTGTTATATAGGTAAACTTGTGTCATGGGGGTTTGTTATACAGGTTTGTTAGTCATCCAGGTATTAAGTCTAGTATCCATTAGTTATTTTTCCTGATCTTTTCCCACCTCCTCTCAATGGTAATTTAATAGGAATAGCATTGAATCTATAAATTGCTTTTGGCAGTAGGGCCATTTTAATGATGCTGATTCTTCCTACCCATAAACATGGAATGTTTTTTCATTTGTTTGTATTATATCTGATTCTTTTGAGTAGTGTTTTGTGCTTCTCCTTTTAGGATCTTTTCTTTCCCTGGTTAGCTATATTCCTAGGTGTTATGTTCTTTTTGTGGCAATTTTGAATGGAATTGCATTCCTGATTTGGCTCTTGGCTTGACTGCTGCTGATGTATAGGAATGACAATAATTTTTTCACATTGATTTTGTATTCTAAGATGTTGATGAAGTTGTTTATCAGCTTAAGAAGATTTTGAATCAATACTCTGAGGTTTTCCAGATATAGAATTATGTTATTTGCAAACAGGGATAGTTTGACTTCCTCTCTTCCTACTTGATGGGTTTATTTCTTTCTCTTGCCTAATTTCCCTAGCCAGGACTTCTAATACTATGAATAAGAGTGGTAAGAGAGGGCATCTTTGTCTTGGGCAGGTTTTCAAAGGGAATGCTTCCAGCTTTTGCCTATTTAATATGATGTTGGCTGTGGCTTTGTCATAGATGGCTCTTATATTCTGATATGTGCCTTAAATATCTAGTATATTGAGGGTTTTTAACATAAAGCAGTGTTGAGTTTTATCAAAAGCCTTTTCTGTATCTGTTGAGATAATCATGAAGTTTTGTCTTTAGTTTGAATCACATTTATTGATGTTTATATGTTGAACCAATTTTGCATCACAAGGATAAAGCCTATGTGATCATGATGGATACCTTTTTGATGTGCTTCTGGATGATTCAGTTTACAAGCAATTTGTTAAGAATTTTTGCTTTAATGTCCATCAAGAATATTGGCCTGAAGGCTGGGCACAGTGGCTCATGCCTGTAATCCCAGGACTTTGGGAAGCCAAGGTGGGCAGATCACAAGGTCAAGAGATCAAGACCATCCTGGCCATGGTGAAACCCTGTCACTACTAAAAATACAAAAAATTAGCTGGATGTGGTTGCATGTCACTATGGTCCCAGCTACTCGGGAGGCTGAGGTGGAAGAATCGCTTGAACCCGGGAGGCAGAGGTTGCAGTGAGCTGAGGTTGTGCCACTGCACTCCAGCCTGGTGACAGGGCAAGAATCCATCTCAAAAAATATATAAAATAAAATAAAATAATATTGGCCTGAAGTTTTCTCTTTTGTTGTATCTCTGCCAAGTTTTGGTATCAGGATGATGCTGGCCTCATGGAATGAGTTAGGAAGGAGTCCTTCCTTCTCAATTTTTTGGAGTAGTTTCAGCATTAATGATACCAACTCTTCTCTGTTCATCTGATAGAATTCCGCTGTGAATCCATCTGGTCCTGAGCCTTTTCTGGTTGGTAGGTCGTTTATTACTAATTCAAGTTCAGTGTTCCTTATTGGTCTGTTCAGGGATTAAATTTCTTGCTGGCTTAGTCTTGGGAGGGGTTATGTATCTAGGAATTTATTTCTTCTAGATTGCTTAATTCATATGCATATATGTATTCATAATATTCTCTGATGGTTGTTTGTATTTCTGTGAGGACAGTGGTAATACACCCTTTGTCATTTCTGATTGTGTTTATTTTAATCTTCTCTTTTTTGTGTTGTTAATCTAGCTAGTAGTCGATATACACTATTATTTTTCTTTAAAAAAAATCAGCCTCTTAATTCCTGGATCTTTTGAATGTTTTTTCATGTCTCAATCTCCTTCAGTTCAGCTATGATTTTGGTTATTATTTGTATTCTGCTGGTTTGGGGATTGGTTTGCTCTCGGTTCTCTAGTTCTTTCAGTTGTGATGTTAGGTTGCTAACTTGAGATCTTTCAAACTTTTTGATGTGGTCATTTAGTGTTACAATTTTTCATCTCAACAGGGTCTTAGTCATGTCCCAGAAATTGTAGCATGTTGTATTTTTGTTCTCATTGGTTTCAGAGAACTTTGTGATTTCTGCCTTAATTTCATTATTTACCCAAAATTCATTTAGGAGCAGGTTATTCAATTTATATGAGATTGTATGGTTTTGAGTGAATTTCTTAGTCTTGATCTCTAATTTGATTGCTGTGTGGCCGGAGAGATTGTTATGATTTCGGTTTTTTTGCATTTGATAAGGAGTGTTTTACTTCCAATTGTGTCATCAACACTAGAGTAAGTGCCATGTGGTGATGAGAAGAACATATTATTTTGTTGTTTTTGAATGAAGAGCTCTGTAGATATCTGACAGGTCCGTTTGATTGAGTACTGAGTTTTGGTTCTTAATGTCTATAAATTTTCCATCTTGATGATCTGTCTAATATTGTCAATGGGATGTTAAAGTCTCCCACTATTTTGTTGGAGTCTAAGTCTCTTTGAAGGTCTCCAAGTACTTGC